CAGATACAGTCCGTTCAAAGCAATCAGGAAGTATTTGAAAATGTTTACTAGTAGGAAGAGCACATCATTTATAGACAGCAACCCGCTTTTCATGTTTTCTTATTTTGGGAGTGTACATCTTAGGGGTATAGAAACGCTACTGCTACTTAAGACAGGGTGTCACCCATGCATATATATGCAATTATACACATGAGTGCGTTTGCATAACGGGCACTGTTTGTGTTCACCTGGGTGTCACTTCTGTTCAAGATGTCGAGGGGCCAGCGTAAGAGTGCTCTTGCCTACTCACTTTAATAATAACCTTGATCGAGCGCACACACACACACACGCAAGTAATTGTATATACTCGAACCCGTGAGATATTTCCGACAGCGACAATGTGCATGAATGGTTATTGGCACTTCGTACATATATGCATATACACTTGTGTGCTTCCAATTTGAGCGGCTTATTCTTCCTCTATGATGTTTTGGTCCAGTTGCCCTTTTTTGTTGAATCTAAAAAATGACTCCATTCTTTTTACTACGCTGTGTTGCAGTTACTTATAGAATCATAGTAGAGGGTCAGAGGAACATATTACTACGTGCAAATCAGGACAAGCAATTGTATGCAATAAAAATAAAATAATTTTAGCGTAAAGCTCTAGAACAGAAAAGATTGTACTTCTCATAATGTGATCATTTTAAAAGGGAGCGAACAATTGACACACTTGTATTTCAATATAGACATAATTCTTTTTAAAGCGAAACGGGTATTATACCTGGCAGTAGTTTCAGTGTGTCAACACAAAGAGCAAGATTTAGGAAGATTAACTCCTATGTATAATACATTACCCTAAGACGGGAAGATAACTAAAAAAAAATGAATAATTGCGCACCTATACTATTACACAATTATATCTCCGCAATAACTTATTCCCACTTCTCTAAGGTGGAGATTCAACGAAACTATTATAATAAAGTCTCTAAGTCATAACACGCATGTTACATTTTAAATGATTCACAAGATGCTTGCTCGTGTGGAAGCAGCAAGGAGAGGATCAATCACATACTCCAGAGCCATTTGTGCTAACTCCATTTTGAGTGTTACTTTGTAGTATTGTGCAAGCACGTATAAGTGCATAATTGTGCGTGTATTCAAGTGTACGTGCGTGATATGGCAAGCCCATGCGCTCAGCATCCATGCACTGAGACTATGTTATAGCATTCAAACCGAGGAGAAAGACACTCAAAAATGTCAAGTGCAAAGCGTGAAAGAGCGAAAGCGCGCAAATAGATGATTGTTCCTAATTCAAAAACCGAACTTTGCGCGTTATACGGAGAAAATAATTAAATTCGCTTCATTTCCCATAAAAGATAAACATGTCTGTTTACGTGTTTAAGCAGTATGTAGCATGCTTGCATTTGTCTACTGCGAAAACGTTTATGCCCGTTTTAATATCATGCTTCAAATTTAACTCTTCCATATTATTCCTTTGTAAAGCTCAAATGGACATAACTATTGCTTAAAGCAGTTCGTTTTAAATTTGGAAAGCGGCGCGTACATTTATAATTGCCCTGTTATTAATGTATTTGTTTGGTTCGTTTGTTAAGTGCCTGATGTGCTATATTACTATTTGAAGGAAACGCAAGGGGAGGTTTCACGCAGGCAGACTACTGCTAGCTTTATTTACAAATTGTTCGCCATTTAACTACATTTCCGCTGTTGAAGTGCAGCGCCAAAAAGTGAAGCAACTATAGTGTACTATAAAATTGGCACATGTTCCTCTCACACTTTAATGGATCATAAAAAAGCGATAAATTGTACACAAATTTCAGAAAGGAAAAAAAAAGAAGATTGCCCACATTTGTCCGCACAAAACTGACACACAATATCGGACGTTTGGAACGGTCCATTTTTTCATGTTTCAATTTTGCCATGGCTGAGAAAAAAATTTGCGAACCATGTGTTCAGTTTGAAATTGATCAAATTTAAGACAAAATGGGGACTACATTAAATGGTGTGTTGCTCACTTTAACGCACAATGATGTTCACGTCGGTGAATAAATGCATTTCCCGACTAGTCAGGAAATCAGTTTTCAAAAATGCCACATGTGGCCATTATAGAACTGTTATCATTATCTACATAAACCATGCTGTCGGTGTACAAGTACAAATCGAATTGATATGGGAAAAATGTGATGAATAAATATGACTCTTCTTATCCCAGCTGATTTTTTTTAACTGTTCCTTTGGCAATTATTTTGCCCGATTTTTACCTGACTTTTGGCTGTTTTTTTTTTTTTTTTTTTTTTTTTTTCCATAAAAGTAGCTATTTGTTCATAAAATGTTTAAATTTCCATGACAATTTGTACTCGGAAAAAAAAAAAAAAAAAAAAAGAAAGGAACAGGCACCCCCCACCTCTTTTTAGTAATTTTTCTGCACCATTTTCGATTCTTTTTAAGCGCCTTTCAAGTTTCAACGAAATGTGCGTTCCGTGTTTCGCCTTGATTGCAGTTGAATTGTAAACAAACAAAAACGGAAGAGAAATGGTTCTTATATATTTATACACACTCCCATTGGTGGCTAAATTAAACAGATGGCAGTGGCATTTTAAAGGCAAATTTTAAAGCATGAAAAGTTAGCTTGTTACAAGTGCATGTTAATTCTAAGGGGGGTGATCCACATATTGGCTCAGGATTTACGTCATTTCACATTTTCCGCAAACGATGTCAAATTGGTTTGTCCAAATAGACATGTTTATTATGTGTTGTGCCATTTTAGTACTCGCAAGGAATTTGGGAAGGTACATTACTCAAATAGTGCAAAACGAAAGTTACACATATACTTCCTTTTTCAAAACGTTAACGTGAACTTTTATTATACATTGTAAAAATGGGGTGTTTCTCCAAAAATGGTTAGATTGTTTCCCCCGGCGAGTAAAAATAATAGTGGCCCGTGCACATATCGATCGAGATGTACATGTGACTAAGATTCAATAGCTCATGAAACACCTTTTAAAAGTGTAAACTGCTCAGCAGGGGTACATCATTTGTTTCAATTCGACTGGATTCTTGGGATGTTTGATAGCACGGCAAGACGCAGAAACATAAATTTCGCACAGTTACCATTGTATATGTGTTATGTACATAATATATGTATATTATACATGTGCCGCGCTTTAAGCGAAAACCTTGCGAAATAGTTACTGACCAAAAATGCGCATTAAACTTTAATTTTGCTATGCGTAACAAAAAAAAATTTTTTTTCTTAACAGTGAGCTAGCTTGCTCGGATTTTTTTTTTTTTTTTTACATGAAGAACGAACGCAATGAAATTATAAAATGAAATAGTTTTTGAACTGCCATTTTATAATTTGTGAAGTGAACGTTTCCATGCTATTTTGTATGTATTCAACTGTTTTCAGTTCAGAGCGTCGTTTTACGAACCATGCATAAAGCAAATACGTAAATGGAATAACGTAAATTGGCCACGGTGCGCATATATAATAAGTGCGTTAACATGCTTATAGTTATGCTCATGTATGAGTATATGAGCTGATGCAAAATGTTATTTACCGTCAGCAAAAAAAGCATTAACTACAGGCATTTGATAAACATTCTTTGGCTTGCGTTTGCATAGTTCAAAATAGCATATATTCGTATCATATGTTATTACATATTATACATATATATGTAAAAATAAAATTCAACAATACGCACTTTGTCATGGGTCACGCACTTTGTATAGCAACAAACTAAAAAACCACCAAAATGAAAAGAAAAGGCACGTAAATGCATATATGTTTGTTGTTTTTATTTTTTTGCGCTCGCAAAATACATAATAATCCATATAGCCAAAGCCTTATCCGGTACATCTGTATTTTATTATATTCTAAAATAAATACATTGCATTTAGAATAAAGAAGAAAAACAAAAACAAAAAAAAATGTTTTAATTAAAATATATTAACAAGAAAATGAAACCATTTTTATATAATTATTTTAAATATGAATATAGCTGACATTATGTCACAAATATAAAAGACTGTAATGCATTATAACCAACAGGGAAGAAAAAATGAGCGCTTTAAGAAAGATGTTGCATTGATATATTTTTATAATATATCTGTATTCTTCCCATTTTAACGTATATATTATATTATACGTATTTGTAACAAAACAAGAAATCAGATCCTGGATTTGATTAGATATACAAATTATTATACCCTTTTTGTCTGTACTTGTTCTATTTTAATATAAGATATCAAAAATGATAGCCTTATAAAGGTGACGTCGCTTTCACCCCCTCAGCCGTTGTATATTTTTCTCCAATATAAGGAAAGAAAATAAGATTTGCAAGTATAAACGATATTTTTTTATTCAAGGAGAATACAGAACATAAGGAGTTAGGCAGAATTGTACTACAGGAATAGGAAGTTTTACAGCATCGTGTATATATCTACGTCCATACGAATGTATGTCAAATATTGTTTTGTGAGGAAAAGAAGAAAATAGCAAGAGTACCAAAACCATTTTTATGCGTAAAATAAAATATATCATTAGTGAGCAGTCCTACAGTTACCCACCACACACGTACCAAACATTATTACTGATTTGTTAAAATGTATAATTTAAGCAGAGTATACTCTTTAAGATGGAACGCTTCATGGACCTATAAGTAAATAACAAATTTAATATATTAAACTTTTGCTACTATACTATATGTTTAGCGCATATAACAGAACCGAATATATATGTGGGCATGTTTTTGTTTTCATCTGTTTTAATATGTGCTTACTTTGACTCGATTAAGAATCTCTTTGAATCTGTCTGTCCACTTTCACCTTCCTTCCATCTCTCTCAAACCATCTTTCGTGCATAAATTCCTTTATCCCTCAATGCTAAATTGTCTTCATAATTATATGCAAAGTAGTTTATGTTCCGTTCATGTAGAGAAAAAAATTATATATTTCTTTTTCGTTAATGTTATAATTATTAATGTAGATTAAAGAGATATCACATGTCCCCGAGATGGAATGTTAGTAAGTGGTTGGTGAAGGAAGAATATAAGTCGCAAAAGTTTAGTAAACCGTTTTACTTGACCAAATGGGGAAATTTCAAAACCGTTCACAATCAGTTTTCAGCCAATAGCGGAGCTTTTAATAAGTTTTGCGACATGAACAAATTACATGAGAACGACATTAAATCTAAAAAGTAGTTTATCATTACAAAATAGACTTTGAACGGTTGTTAATTCAAAAAAGTGTAAACCAAAAAAAAAAAAAATAAAATAATAAAATAAAATAAGGCAGTTACACATCTCCTGCCCTTTGCTTTACCAACATTATGAGAAGCACAAGCCGTATGTACATATTTATGCATACACGTGCACACCGTGCAAATATAACACATTTTAATTTGGAGGGAGAGACCACGCATGTGGACACAAAATACGCCCCCTTCGTTTTTGTTACTCAATTTTTTTTTTGTCTCTTTTCAATTTCATTTTATGTGTTCTTATCATTTGCCACCTTTTTTTGTTTTTTTATGTTTTTCTCATTGCCCATTCGTTTTTATTGAGTACAACTAAACTGAATGTTTTTAGCTATTAATCAGCTTATTTTTCGTACACCTTTGCGATCTATATTTTCTCAACAACATATGTATAAGCACATTCTTGTGTATATGGGGAGACTTCCCCATATGTGTGTTTTTTTTTTCTTTTATCTTCTTCCCTTTATAATTAAAATATTTTCTCCAATAAATTTAATAAAATGCTGAAATAATGAGGTAATTCGTTTATTAAACTTAAGGGAATGCACATATAGTCGAAGCTGTAAATTGTTTTATTCATAATTTCGTTAATTTCGGAGCAAGATGACTTGTTTAATTTGGGTGCCTACAAGGGGGACAAAAGGACGCACGTGAGTTTGCACATACACACATATGTAAGTCTTTATGTACATATGTTTTTCACGTATTAACTTTTTCAGTTAATTTTTTTGCTTAAGTGAAAAAACAAAAAAAATGCCCCATATGACTCTTTTTCTTTTTGTGCCCTCATCAACATTAAAGAATTTGCACAGTTATTCGTTGCAGTCACATTTTTTGTTAGCAGTTAATTAATAAGAGGTTTGTATACAGTAAATTTATCATTCCTGCTGAACTATTCTTAAAATTGAGAAAGCTCTGGTTCTTATTTGTTGTGTTTGCTTTTCTACGTGCCTTTTACGACATAAAGTCCCCATCGTAAATAATCGACATTTATAATTTTATGCAATAATTTTGCAAGTTATATTTGACGGAACGAAAGGTTATCTTTCGTTGCAGTGGCACCTGTCTCGTTATGCCAGTTTGTTTGGCTTGTGAAAATTAGTGCCTCCCCATGCAACCCTTCCATGTGGGGAAGTCCATGTACGTATGTATGCACTGTTTCCTTTCTTTTTGCATGGAATACAGGCGCAAGTTTCGTATAGACATATTTACACTTTGTTTTTTTTTTTTTTTTTTTTTTTTTTTTTGTGATTATAAATTTCATCACGTTATAACTACCATCATATTATGCTTTAATGAATTAACACTTTTGTTGGAGTATCTTTAATTAAAACTGCGTTACGCACATAGCATAGGAAAGGAAACCTGTGTATATTATTCCCATCACGTTTCTGATTTGGGCTAGATGTACCAGAAATGTGATAGCTGCTCCGTGAGTATGTTCCAATTTTTGCAACGAGTGGCAGTTTACCCCTTTTATTTAATAGGATTATTTTAGTTGGGCAGTTGTCTGTGTATACGAACTTCCGCTGGCACATCTGCACTGTGCGCGGCTTATTTCTCTTTTTTATGTAAAAGCATTACCTTTGGGTACCTCTGGCTGAAATGTGTTAGTATTAACGTTTTACACTTCACTTCTAGACCTGCGATGTAAATGTATGCAGTTATTTGTGAAAGATTCAAAAAAATGATTAATTGGGGCTTTCATGTATAAATAAGACATGACAACAGTGTGTATTTTGTTTTTTGTGCTTACTAATTTGCATAGCCTCATGTGTTGTAGAATGCTTTTTATGAATGGCTTCGTCCAGCAATTCGTCATCAAAGGTGGCTAAGAATTGGTAACAAACATTGGTATGTACATAAATTGAATGGTTTTAATATTGTTGCTCTACTATGTCGTACAGAACACATATAGGTTCCTCCTTCGTACACAGGTTTGATATTTTCAAACTTTTTTTTTTTTTTTTTACCTTCGTGTATCAAAATGTCACAGTTTTTGGAGAAAATTTTGACATTATCACATGGTCTTGTGTCCGCTGAGTAAACTATGGAACCGATGTTATTGCGTTCAATTTTTATGCCGTAGGACTCTTTAACATGATTAACCTATAAGGGGCGGATTTTGAAAATATATTGTGCTGAACAAATTATGCTCCTTCCTTTCCAAAGTGCCCATAAAATGTGCGCCCCTGGAACGCACGCGGTGGAACACGCAAAAGCGCCGGAGTTAGACGCATCCAATTCTGCATTATGAATGGAAATGATTTATAACACATTCGTACCTTAAAAGGGCGGAGAATTACGAAGCTGTCGTCATCGCCGACTTTTTCCTTTACTTCCAAATTTTCTTCATTGTACAACACTTTAATTGGTTTGTCAAAAAAAAGTTCACTAAATAAATTCATCCAACTTTTTAGCGTTGATGGGATCAGTATCAGCGGGTCATCGAGGTGTGGAAAGAGGAGTCTGCGCACATGCAGCATGTAGTAAAGTCCCATGTGGTGATCTGCGTGTGCGTGCGAAATGAATACTACTCTGCAATTTGGAGGGGAAAGATAAAGGTAAAACGGGGTATACATTTATGCATCTTCTCTGTGCTATCGACGGAGGTGTAACAAATTTTACGAAACGGAAAAAGGACAAAAAAAAAAAAAAATGCGCTTCATCCAATTTAATACAATCAATGTACTCTTAGATAATTCGCACAGCACACATTTGTGGAGACATACAAATGTAAACACACTGCAGCATGTAGGTGGATTACTTAATCGACTTAAGGGTGTTGGAGAAATGGATCCACGACTGGCTCATCCAATACAGCTGGTAGAGTGAACCCTCTCCAAAATCTAAGACAATTCTGAAATTTTCTTCAACGTTTAATATGATGCCAGAAACGTTTCGAAACGTTGAGGGCATTGAACAACCCGTACCGAGAAAATAAAAGGAGGGAAATTTTAAGTAACTCTGAGTTGCTCTATTGTTAAAATGCTCAAATGGTTTCAGTAAATCTTTATTATGTTTTAACACGTTTGATATTTTCGCGGAATTAAAAAAAGTTGGATATAGTTCGCGCAGCATCTCGTCTGTGCTTATGCTAACTTTGTGAAATGGGTGTAAAACAAATTTGCTCAGTGGGTTGTAAGCGCAGTAGGAATCACTTTGTTCACACTCTATTTGGTACGCCGCGTCTTTCTTCATTTCTTTCTCTGCGTCTTTTTCAACTTCTTTCCCCATGTGGCATGTGGGTTCTCCCTCCTTCGCAGTTGACACCAATTTTCCGCCTTCCCTTCCATTATCATCATCCGGTGATGCGTGGCAATGATCGTACAGGGGGGTGTCCGCTTTGTACTTCAAAAAAATGGTGGGTAATAATTTTGAAAGGAAGTTGTTCAATGATGCTGTGGAAACAAATGGGCATACTTTCAAAGAACTACTGGATTGATTGCATTTAACATTTTTCACATTTTTTAAATTTAAAAAAAATTTTTTATAATTGTCCATATTGGTAATTTGGTCCCCAGACAAATGAAAAATATATTCCAAATTTTTTAAATAAAAATTTCCCTTACTGGAAAGTTCTTCTGACAAATTCTTTACGTCAGCAACATGCTCTAAATCAATAACTAGGGCCTTCCTTCCGTCAATGTTTTTATCACACACGTCTTCAGGCTTGATTACTTTATTATTTAAGGTAATGGGCTTTCCAGATTTTAGTATCCCGTAATATTTTCCTGGTGGGATATTTAAGCTCTTTGCCTTTTCGACGTGGAATTTTCCAATTGTTTGAGGACACTCAATTGTATAGCAAATGGTGCTGTACTTTTTCTTAACTTGTCCCTTCTCTGGTTTGGTTCCCTTGTCATTCCTTTCTTCTTCTGCATTACTGGAGAGCCCCTGTTCGTAAAGAAGCTCTCTATCGAGCTGGTTTCCCTTAGGGATTCCTTCACTGGGGTGGTCCATCCGGTGGGCTTCTCCATTTGGGGGATTCTCCTTGTCTATTTCGCCGTATTCGTGTCCACCCTTGCGATTTTCCTCATTCGGAATGATCCCCCCCTGCAGCTTCCTCTTCTTACAATTATCCAAACGGCTTCCCCCAGACGAGCCATGTTTTACTGCGCCCCCTTCACGTGCGTGGTTCGTTTCCCCACCATACGTGTCAGTCGATGCGGGAGCTATTCTGCCTTCAACATGATCCACTTCTTCTACGCACTGGTTGGGCATATCACTTTCTCCTTTTTCTTGTATCACTATTGGGGTTATAACAACGTTTCCCTTTAAAACAATTGGAACACTTTCACAAATTTCGTGTACTTGTAATTTTATATTTTTCAATTTCGCAAAGGAACACTTGAAATTATTAACTATCTGTTCTATAGGCTTGGGTCCATAAATTGATATGTCACTATTTGCTATGTTGTCTATGGTTAGCAGGAGACCTACCAACCCTCCAATTGTTTCTGGATTAATTTTCGTAAAAAATATATTCCTAGTTTTAACGACATGTAACTTGTGCTCGTTCAAAAACCTTTGCATGTTTTCTCCACAGTTAAACAGTGTGAATTCTCCGTTTACAAATAAGCGCAAGCTCGGCGGCACTGCGAGCTTGTGAGACCCTACAATTTGTATGTACACCTCCATATTTGTGTAGCTTGTCTGTTTTCTTTTTTGGAGAGACCTCTTTCGGTGCAGCCCTTTTTTGAGGTGGCTTTGGTTATATTGTGCGCGCGTCCTGCTGTGAGTTTAAGCGCTATGGCGATAGGGGTTCTAAAAATGGGTTCACAGATGGCCTCACAAGAGTATCTCCCTCAAAGGCTGCTTCACCGGGAGAAGAACGTTTCACTAGTTGGACGCCTTGCGCAAAATCCAACCATTTGTGACTACCCTCGTTTAGCAACTTTGTACACATATAAGTTTTATACAAGAATTTCAAATTATGGCCAAAAAAAAAAAATAAATAAAACAATGAAACGAATAAGTACAACAAAAACAAGTGACTTCGGGACGAGTTAAACACAACTCACTATGAGTTGACGAATACATTAAGGTGGCAACATTGCTTGTCCTTCCCTGTTCTCACAAAAAAAGTGAAGAAGAAGAATAGTACCCAGTGTTTTATGCGATACAGAAAAAATTGTGAGCACCCACAAAATGAGTAAATAAATTACATAAAGTGTACGCACAAGGATTATGGTTATGAATACTTTTCCCTGGTGGGCCTCCCTCTAAACGATGTGCTGCGCCCGCAACCTTTTTTTTTACAACAACCTCGCATCCATTTGGTAAGCGGATTTGGTATGCCGTTAAGGAGAATGATCTGTTCCGCTGAGCGAGTTGGCTCGAATTATTTCTAGTCCGAATGAAAAAAAGGCAGATGTAGTGGTGCACCCTGTTCTCCATAACAAGCAAAAAAAAAAAAAAAAAAAAGCAGTAAGTGTACAAACCGCCGAATCGTTAAAACGTGAGTAAGGGGATGTGTGCCCCATATTTATTGTTCATTTGATAATGGCAAATTTTATGCAGAACTAGTTTGCTGTGCTAACACGTGGGGATATGTTAACATACGTAGAGTTTGCCAAACAAGCGAAGGTGTAAGCAAAGTGAAAGCACTAGAGGCGCATTTGTTAATCGCCCACTTGTCGTAACATAAATGAGGTGAAGTGATGCAAAATCAGCAAGATGCAAACATGTATCAATGATTGAACACTCATCTACACAATCCCAATTGTCATATATTTATCCCCATTTTATGATTACCTACGACCGAATAAATGGAATGTGGATATCGAAATGAAGGGAAATTCCACCAAGTTGTACTGACCATAAAGGAGAAAATTGAAAAACACGATTTAGGGAAATGGAAGGACATTGTCAAACCGGAAGAGGGTCCAAAATATGACGAATATTTTGAGCGGTTGCTGAGGGAGGGCACACACAACCAGGGTGCCCACGAGACGGATTATCTGTCCGCCCAACAGGTGGAACAAATCCCCCCAGACGGATTCGACGCATTTGGGAACGAAAAAAACAAAATGGAGTTTCAGCTCAACAAAGAATTCTTCGATAAGATAAACAATAAGGAAAAATTTTACATCCTACTGAACATAAAAGAAATGATGGAAACGAGTTGGTTATTGGCACAAAAAAGATTAGAGGGGATTAAATTGGAGGAAAAGTCCAAACCGGTTAACGTCCAGGACTTATTAAATTACTCCCAAAAAATTGCAGACACGACATGTGCCCCACCAGAGTGCGATAACATAAACGACAAAATAATGCATCAAGAATATTACCCCAATTATCATTTTTTAAATTTTGTAAATGTAGAAGAAATACATTTGTCCAAACTATTTCAACTGCAAAAATATAGTACCGTTTGCTTCCCCCCAATTATCACCGTACAGGAGGTTAACGACAACATGCTCGTTGTTGACATCACCTGCTCTACTCCCCAGGTCACCATTTATTACAGAACGAATGATGAGACAAATGAGCAGATATATAATGCAGATGACAAGCCGCAAATTAGGAAAAGAAAAAATATCAAGGTTTATGCTTGGTCAGTTAAAAATGGACATATAAAATCGAGAGTTTCTTGCATTTCGAAATCATATAAAGTTGAGGAAGATGATTCATTCTCGTTTTCGGATAATCTGCCACATAAAAAACAGAGGGAACAAGCGCCAGGCTGTTCCAAAAGGGGTATCGAGTCTAATACCCCTGGTAAATCATCTCAAATTACAAATGTCTTTAAAAATTTGGGCTTTTTACTCAGCCGAAGAAAGGAGCAAACAGAGGAATCCTCATCAAATGGGGGGTCATCGAGTGAGGGGTAGTGGTAACATATTTGTTTTGTGGGACTGTCCACACCGTTAATACGTAAATAGAAACATATGTATGCCGCTTCGCATGAAGCAGGATGTGTGACTCCGAAAACTAGCCACCTGCATGATTGGAGAAGATGCTCACGCGTGAATTTCTAAGCACACACAGGCTCAACAAGGAAACATGGCAACAAAGTGGAGGTAGCTTATTTTGATTATTTGCCCAGAGCAGTGCAGCGCGCAACGTATGTAGCAACCTCTGCAATAACCACCACGGCTGTATTGTCCATTTGTGCATGTCTGACCTGTCTGCGGCTTCTCTTTTTTTTTTTGTGCAAATTTTTCCGTGTGGGCGTAGAGCGATACACAGAAAAGTGTACCAATATTGTTAGACGAAAAAGGTTCTTTTGAGACGCCCACACACATGCGCGCCAATGCATAGTAGTAAAACGACCTGCTTCATATAACTGACAAATTTTTCAAAAGGACATCCTTTATTTGATCAGGCGAATAAAGCATGTTCACTTTTTTGGAATGCATTTCGTATATCTGTACATATTCCTTATGTATGTTATTAAATATGGCCACTTGCATGTCCTTTTTGACATGACTTGATTGAATTTTGTTCACCACTGGGAAATCATTAAACTTCTCCGAAAAAGCAAATTTATAAAAATTTTCTAAAATCAGTTTTATTTCCTTTTTGTTACTTTCCTTTCCTTTCCTAATTTTGTCTAACTTTAGGTAGGCAAATAAATTTTTATTTTCTAGCTCCAATACTTTTTCCATTTTTTCATGGACAATTATACCAAGCAAATCGTAGTACTTAGAGGAGCCTTCAAACATTTGTACATTTTCTTGCATAAAGACAAATATATTTATAATAAATATATAATCTGTTTCTACATTCTGATTTTTATTTTTCAACGAGTTATTTATTAGGGGGTTGATTGTTATATCAAGGACGTTTTGAAAATTTTGTTCGTTGGAATGGGAGCCGAATAGGGCACTGTTTCTTCTGTATATAGAGTATACATGATTTAATGCACTGAATATTTTTTTTATGACAGACAATGTGTTGTCATAATAATTGGGTTCATCCACTTTCGTGATTTTACTAAGGTAGAATGTGACAACGTCTTTTTGCCACAGACCGATGAATTCGTTTTCTATTTTTTTCTGTATTCTTTGTGTATAGCTTAGCAGTTTGCAGTTGTATTTTTCTGCCCCGATGTTTTTTTCTCCTAGCTCGCTTCTATTCCTGCTTGTTTGGGCATCTTCCACACTGCTCACCGATTCGTCATCCGATTGAGGAATGACGAGTTCATTGGTGCTGTTCCCTTTTCCGTCTCCACGTTCCGCTTGATCCAGAGATCCTTGTTCTTCAACCACATTTGGGACAATCTCCACATTATTTATTTCGTCTATATCTGCCTCATTGTGGGAATATTTCGTGTTTATATTGTTCACTGGTTCATCGTTTAAAAACTTTTCTTCATTCGTTTGATCGATGCGACTTTCGCTTGCAAGTTTACTTTGGGTACCATCTGGGGTGCTGCTGGGAAGGTCCCACAAAATGGAATTCCTCCCTCGGATTCCCTTTCCAGGATTAATTTTGTAATTTTCTAAAAATGAATTTTCGTGGAGAAAGACTCCACTCTGTACGTTGGAGAAACTAGATTGACTATCATTCAAGCCTGGATTACAACGTATCATTTCTATCGAATTTTCTCTAATAATATCCTTGACGTCTTGTGTTATTTCGCAGTTGTTTTGAAATTCTTTCAATTTAAAAATGAACAAGTTTACAATGTGAAACAATTCATAACATGTATCGTAACTCTTCGGGTAGCTATTCAAATTTGTGTCTATAAAATGGCTGTAGGGTACAAACAAAGAATCAATGATTGTGTATAAATTGTTATGCATATTTTCCACATGAGCAGCTATATACGGTATTGCTACGTTGGCATAATAATAATTGAACAGAAGCAGGATTTTGAAGAAGTGATCCTCCGACATTATCAAGTAGTACATTGTTGAAAAAAAGTTTTTAAATATTTCTATTGAATCATCTGTAGGGTGGAACTCCCCTCCTTCTGAGAAATTGTTCGTCCCCACAATGTTACTACCATGACTGCTAACCAAATTGTTGTAATTTCTTTTTAGCAACTTTATTCTAAAATGCAGAAAATTGGTGAAACATATGTTGAAGTATTCCATATTTTCGATAATAATTTTATAGCACAATTTTGTCAAGGGGGAACAATTCTGGACATAATTTTTTATCATAATTTTCCTTTTTTCCTTTTCTTCCGAAATAGAGCACAACAATAAATCTGTAACTTTGTTTGTCCTTTTGTAATAATTGTTATTCTCCCTAATCACATAAAGGCACATTTTCTTGCACGTCTTATTCAATATCTTGCTGTAATGTTTTGAGTAGAATTTACTTACTTTGTCAGTTGAATTTTCATTTAGCAACTTTATTATATTTTCCTTGGTGTACTCAAACTGTTTTAAGTCTTCAAAAAATGCAATATTTAGTGAAACATTTATGTCCGTTAAATTGTTATAGCTTAAGGGACTTAAACTGTATTGCTTTAAAATTTTGTCATACATTTTTTCTTTCTTCCTGATAGCATATTTTTGCGTTTTCAGTTTATTCATTTCCTCCACAATTCCACTTGTCATTTTACTACTTTCCAAAATCTTCTCTTCTGCATTTTTGTCTAACTCGTTAACTTTTTTTAAGTCATTTTGAATATTCTCGAAATGTGTGAGGCATACATTTGTCTCCTTGAACATATTCTCGAA